ATTTTCTGAGTACCTAAATTAAGGTAGGTCTTAAGTATGTCAGTGGGAGGGGAGGGAGGGGACCGTATGAGGAAGAGATATAAGTTATAGACATGGTTTCCTGTAAAGTTCTGCAACATGAGGCACTAGGATTCTAGGAAGAGGGCCTTAATTTTTGTCTAGAGGAAATCACAGTTCACTGGAGAGTGTGGCCTTGAAACAGAGACTTGAAGGCAGTATAGAGTTTCATAGGTAGGTAAGCAGGGGCAAGGAGGCAGAAGAAACAGCATTCACAAACTTGCACAGGCACAAGGGAACACTGTGTAATTAGGGAATGCCGTATGGGAGTAGGGAGTTCTGGTGGCCCAGTGGTGGCCAGAGTGCTCCTTAGAGGTTAGGATGGCAAAGCTGTATCTCACATACGTTGGACATGATATTAGGAAGGACTAAGCTGCTCCACAGGAGAAGAATGGACAATCTCCACCTGCACAAATAACTGCCTCTGAAAAGCCCCTGGAGGATGAGCTATGGGTCTGTTCTGACTAGATGGCGCACAACATCAATTCCTTGGAAAGGAACATTATAGTTGAAAAGGTGAAAGAGAGGAAGACCCTCAATAAGATGATTGACAAAGTGACTGTAGCAATGGTCTTAAGCATGTCAAAGATGATGAGGATGGCACAAGATATTGTTCATAAGGTTGCTGTGAATTGTGCTTTACTTGATGGCACATAACAACAGTGGGTAAAGAGTAGTGCTGCCAACCTCAAGGCATACAGTGTGAATCCATCAGCTATTCTGTAGGATAAAGATGGACAATCTCCTGCCTGTGATTTACCACCTCTGAAAAGCTGTTAAAGGGGCAGCTGTGAGCTGGTTCCAACTTGACAGTACAGATCAACAATACAGGAGCAGGAGTAGTTGGAACCAGATTACTTTGAACAATTTGAAGGAGCTGTCATACTTTTACTTTCCTCTCCATGCTCAGTTACCCAGTCTTACCAGTTTGAATTCCTTGGAGTCTCTCTCTCTACTGCTTTGATTAAAGCCTCACCATTGCCAACCTGGACTTTTGCTTTTGTCTGCTGGCTGGTCTCCCTGTATCTTGTACTCATTCTTCCACTTCACCATCCTTTTTGTCCAGTGGGCCACTCAACTAATATTATTTCCCAAATGCAGAACTGACAAATATAATTTTACCTTCTCTTTGCTTGTTCTGAGTAAAATGCCTCCCAATTGTTTAGCTCAAAGCTCAACTCACTGCTGTCAAGTTGGAATCGACACACCGTTGACCATCCTGGAGGTTTTCAGAAACAGTAAATTGTATGGGGAAAGAGAGATTTCCCATCTTTCTCCTATGGATCAGCTGGTAGATTCAAACTGCAGTCCTTGAAGTTTGCAATGTAGCATCCTACCAGTAAGGCCATCAGAGCTCCAATGCTCAGTATAAACCCTAAATTTGTATCCTGGCATGCAGAGTCAACATGGTATATGACTTAATCTGGCACCCAACCTCACCTCACTCACATTTCTTTCTTCCATTCTTCCATTTCTTACTTCACTTTCTCCCACACCTTAATTTATCTTTCCATGCCCACCCCTTTCCTCTTTAACTGCTTTTTTTGCAGCCTCTCCGACTTGCAGGAAGAGTCACACTTCTGTGTCTTTGTTTAGACTTCTCCTCTTGCTATCGTGCCTTTCCCCTCCTCACAGTGATCCCTTCTTACCTTTGAAGATTTTCCAAGCTCAAATCAAGTGCTGCCAACTCTGTGAAGCCTTTCTTGATTCATCCGTCTTTCCTCTCTGGTTTGGAAACTCCTTGATAGCAGAGACTTGATCTTCATCTTTGTCCTCAGCCCCTAAAACAATGCCTGGGAAATCATGAGTGTGCTGTAAGTGTTTGTTCAATAATAAATTAATTTCCAACACTTGTTTAACTAAATCTTCTATAGTAATGCCCTCTATTGCTTCCTGCTGTATTTCAGGGAATAATCTTTGTAGAACAAAATGCTTATTAGTTTCTAGAATGTTGAAACCTTTGTCTTACTTTTTTACTAGTGCCTAGTTCAGTTTAGGGCGGTAAGGATAAGACCAATAATTTTTATTAGGTTCTTTAGAATTTACTCAGAAAAATAATCTTAAAAATATTTAACTAAAAAAAAAATTAACTCAGGAGCTGTACACCTCTGTACTTGATGCCATCATAAGCTCCTCCTCTAGCCTCCAACTGCTGGGGTCCCTGGGAGCTGAGTTTTCCTCTCTGTCCTTCACTGAAGAACTGGCAAGAACACCACTTGCTGGGGTGAGCAAGGGTCATGGGTGGGCCTGAGGCTGATTTGCTAAGTTTTTAATCAATTGTAGTTAGATTAATCTCAGATGCTAATACAAGAAGGCCCTAATATACACAATAAAATTATTGTTTAAAATGCTTCTCAGAAGCTGCACTTTAAAAAACAGTTCCTTGTGAAAGGAAGTGTTCTGCAGAGTAAAGAAGTATTTCAGGATATGATTATATTTTAAATTTGAATATAGATCTATCAGGTTTGCTTATAGCAAGTCTCAAATGATTTTTTCAATCCCGTATTTGATGTTTATTCTACATAACAAGAGGTTTTGTCTTAACAGTAGGTAGAATTTTTATGCTTACAGCTTACTAATCTCACTAATGAGTATATATATACATCTAATGTCATTTGGATTTTGCTATCCTTAAAGATTTTCTTTTTTAGAAACAACTTAAATTATTTGCAGATAACTTAGTACTATGCCAGTGAGGTAGGATTATTGTCAAATTAAATACCGTATGTCAACATCCAGTTATTTCATTCTAACCAAATTACCTGTGCTTTACCAGAAAAAGGTTACTAAGGAAGGTATTATTATAAAGAAAATTAATTAGAGGAAAACATGAAATGTTCTCTGAAATCATAGTATTTAGGAAGGAATGTTTATAAAAATGTTTTTGAGGGATTGTCGCAAATCTTAATCACAAAACTTATGGATGAGGTTTGTTCAAAGAAAATCTATAAATAAAAATTCTAGTAGAGAAGTGAGGCCAAATATTAGTCAAGAGCCATTAGAAAAAAAGTTACAGTTATTCTTAAATAATTTTTTAACATGTCTTTTATTACTTCTGCTGTATCTAACATTTCAACTTTTGGAAAACTAACAATATACTTAATCACCTTAATTTGTGCTAAATTCATTGTCTCTGACTTTGTTATTGGTGTATAAGAGATCACAATTTTTTTACCAGTATTCTGAAAGCCCACTTTGACTATCAAACCTCTGGGGCACAGACTTTTTTACCAGCTTTCCAGAATGAAATATTTATGTTGGACCTTTTCCCCCTCCCCTAAATGTTATTTATTTTATTGTGGCTGTTGAGAATATGCCCAACATATAGACAACAGTCTTATGTACAGTTTAGTGACATTAATTACATTCTTCAAGTTATATGATCATTTTCACCCTCCTTTTCTGAGCCGTTCCTCCCTTACAAGCATTAACTCACTGCTTTCTGTTGACTCCATGCAATTTTTTGAGTTGTCAATTTGATCCTAGTTGAGCACTTCTTAATGTAATACTCAAGTGAGACTGTTAAAAAACAAACAAGCTAAACTAAAATAGTTTGATTTTAAGATGACTTCTAGGAATATTTTCCATTAAAAGTTTATGTTGAGAAAGGTAGAGAGTCAATGAAAGAGATGATGATCCTTAACAAGACAGATTGACACAGTGGCTGTAACAATGGGGAGTATGGCAGAGATGGTGAGGATGGGGAAAACCAGGGCGAGGTAATGATCTGTCATCGGAGGGTTGCTATAATTTGTAGTTGACTCAATAGCCCCTAACAACATACAGATAGACCTCACCTGTTGGACTACACAGGAATCAGATTGACAGCATCTGTGGAAAGAGTGGAGAGAGTTGTTCAATATTAGTCATCAAAATAAGGCCAGGAGCTGACTGTGGAACAAACCATCAGTTACTTTGCTATTATCTTCTCTCTCTCAGCCCAGTTCAATGAGGTCTGTCTTTAAGCCCCAAACAGTTTTCTTCTGACCCTTCTTCTGAATGACTGCACAGGGTTCTTAATCAGCCCAAATCTTGAGGTACTGAGTAAACCACTGATTCATTTCAATAACATTCCTCCTGTACTTTACTTATCTTCTATCTTCTTGCTCTGGTCTATGCAAGGGGGTAATTCCTTCCAGACTGTTAACCAAAAAGAGGTTCTTAACACCCATAGGTATCTTGGAAGAAAGGCCTGGTGATCTATTTCCAAAGACCAGCTATTGAAAACCATATGGAGCACTTACACTCTGACACACTAGAGTCACAAGGAGTCACACCCAACTAGTTGGCAACTGTTTCTTTGGTTTTGATCATATTGCCTCTTTCTTCTAAAAATTTAAATCCACTACTGAGGCAATTCTGACTTACAGTGACCCACCATCAGCTTGTCCATAGATCTTAATGGGAGGTGTCTGCTCATCTTTCTCATGCAGAGTCATGGGTGGGTCCAAACCACTGGAGACTCTGCCTTTTGATTATCGTGCTGAGCACCACCAGAGCTCCTTACTCCTTTCTTAGCTATTTATGACAGGAACGCAACTCCGATTCATTGCAGCTGAGTCATAACATTATAACACATAGCTGACCCTCTCATGGTTATAAAAAACATTGGAGGAGATTGCCTGTCTTTCTCCCCAAGAACAGCTGGGGTTTTCGAACCACCTACTTTAAGAAATTAGCTGTGCATTGTCTTCCCACTAGGCCACCAGCTCTCTCTTTGATAGGAATGAGAATTCTATCTTTCATTATTTCTTATATTAAAATTATGGTTAATCTTACCTAGTCTATGTTCTTACAGAAATCAATTATAACCCTAAAGATTTGGGTTCACTTTTTCCTATTCATACCTGCTACTGAAAATTCTCCAGATCGCCACAGTATAGAGTGACTAATCTTTACATCTTTGATTTTATATTTGTTTTTTCAGTTGATGTGAACAGGAGATGGAGAAAACAAATGGAAGGGAGCCCATTGCTCTGTCTACGGCAGATGGTGGCACAGAGAACCTGGGGTTGGAGCTCACGGTAACTCTCCAGCTTAGTTTTTATGCAGCTTTCTGAGTTGCCACAGGGCCTTAGGCAGACCCATTGATAATGCTCAATCCACTGGCTGATCTCAACTTTGCCTTGATTACAGGAAGAAAGGCTGAATGCTGAGGGAATCAAGAGAACAGAGGAGCAAGGATATGACCTGGGGAATGGAGTGGGACCTCCCACTGGCCGAAGGTACACTTGTTTGAATCATATATGACCTAAGAGTGGAGGACTGGCTAGTAAGGTCAAATATGCTCTATTCATTTTTAAGAAATGCTTAAAGTAAAATATGTCACTTTGAAGACTTGACCCAAACCATGATATTTTTCAATCGCTCATATTCATGCAAAAGTTGAGCATTGAATAAAGAATTGATACCTTGTTGTTGTTATGTGCCGTGGAGTCGTTTGCGACTCATAGCGACCCTATGTACAACAGCCCTAAACCCTGCTCTATCCTGTGCCAATCGCACTGCCTCTGACACACCCATCCCGATTACGCCAGGCACTGAATCAATCCATCTCATAGAGGGTCTTCCCCTCTTGTGCCATCCCTCCACCCTCCCAAGCATGATGTCCCTCTCCAAGGACCTGTCCCTCCTTGCAACGTGCCCAAAGTATGTCAGATGAAGCCCCACCATCCTTGCCTCCAAGGAGCCGCTTGGTTTAACCCTCTCCAGGATGAATTTGTTTGTTTTCTTGGCAGTCCATGGTACATTCAATACTCTTCTCCAGCACTACAGCTCAAAGACATCAATTCTCCTTCTATCCTCCCTAGTCATTGTCCGACTCTCTGATGCATAACAAGTGATTGCAAAGACCATGGCCTGTATCAGGCGCACCTTAGTCTCCAGAGAGACACCGTTGCTTTTGAGTACGTTAGAGAGGTCCCTAACAGCAGACTTTCCCATCACAATACGTTTTTTTATTTCCTGGCTGCTGGTGCTAAGAGTGTTGACCATGGAGCCAAGCAAACTGAAGCTGTGAACAATCTCAATCTCTTCGCCATCCATCCTGATGCTACCAATTTTTCCAGTGGTGAGAATCTTTGTCTTCTTGACATTGAGCCTCAATCTATATTGGAGGCTGCAGTCCTTGACCCTCCGCAGCAAGTGCATGAGGTCTTCCTCAGTTTCAGCAAGCAGGGTTGTGTCATCTGCATAACGCAGATTGTTGGGAATAGATGGTATACCAATTGACGTATTTCAGCTAACAGTTGCTGCCCTGGATGTGCTCACCAAATTGTGCCAAGAAATCTGGAGAACAACCACTTGGCCAACTGATTGTAAGAGATCTATATTTGTTCCCATTCCAAAGAAGGGTGACCCAACAGAGTGTGGAAACTACAGAACAATATCATTGATTTCACATGCAAGCAAGATTCTACTGAAGATTATCCAAAAATGACTGGAACAGCACATCAGCAGAGAACTGCCAGAAGTCCAGACTGGGTTTAGAAGGGGTCGTGGTACTAGGGATATTGTAGCTGATGTTAGATGGATCTTAGCTGAAAGCAGGGAATAGCAGAAGAATGTATATCTGTGTTTCATTGATTATGCAAAGGCGTTTGACTGCATGGATCATTACAAACTGTAGCTGACTTTAAGAATGGGAATCCCAGAACATTTGGTGGAAGAACTATTAACAATCTGCATTATGCAGATGATACAACCCCGCTTGCTGGAGAGGGTTAAACCAGGCTACTCCTTGGAGGCAAGGATTGTGGGGCTTCGTCTGGCATACTTTCGGCATGTTGCAAGGAGGGACAGGTCCTTGGAGAGGGACATCATGCTTGGGAGGGTGGAGGGACGGCGCAAGAGGGGAAGACCCTCTATGAGATGGATTGATTCAGTGCCTGGCGTAATCGGGATGGCTGTGTCAAAGGCAGTGCAATTGGCACAGGATAGAGCAGGGTTTAGGGCTTTTGTACATAGGGTCGCTATGAGTTGCAAACGACTCGACGGCACATAACAACAACAACAATGCGAAAACCTATACTTGGATCAAGAGGCAGTCTTCAGAACAGAGCAGGGTAACACTGCATGGTTCAAAATTAGGAAGGATGTATGCCAGGGATGTGTCCTATCTACATACCTTTTCAACCTGTATGCAGAGCAGAGTATCTGAGAGGCTGGGCTCTATGAGGAGAAGTGTGGTGTCAGGACAGACTGAATAGGTATCGTAAAAAGAATCCTAAAGCACATCTTCCTAATTATAAACTATGCAGTATTTTCTTGCTCTTTTCCAATGATTATATCTTTGCTTGTATATATGTTCTGAATGAGTACAACTAAGTGTCCTGGAATTCCCATTCTTTTCAATGTTATCTATAATGTATTATCATCCATACAGTCAGATACTTTTTTTTCATATATTTATTGGTTTGCATATAATCTTTTTTTTTCAGCCTCTGAATTTTATTTTATTTTTGGATTTCTATTTATTCATTGTTGCACACTTTCCTCCATGCCCACCCCTCCCCCTCAGTTTGCTTTTCTCTTTGACCAAAAAAAAAAAATCTTTCATTGTTATGCAAAACCCCTCTTCCCCTGTCCTCTCCACTAAGCAGATTTCATTCTGGACTCTAGTCAGGACAATAATACCTAATCATATATTTCTCCTAAACAGTTCTCTCCCTCATCTGTTTCAATGCAGTATATATTATTTATCCCCTCTTTTCTTATTTCCCCCCCAATTCTGATGTCAGTCCTGTGTTACAACAGTAGTACTATGCAGTATTTGTCTTTTTGTGACTGAGATATTTCACTCAGCATAATGTCCTCCAGGGTGACCTATTTTGTATAATATTTCATTAATTCCTTGTTTTTCAATGCAGCATAGTATTCCATTGTGTGAATATACAAGAGTTTCTTTATCCATTCATTTGTTGATGGGCACTCGAGTTATTTCCAACTCTTTGCTATTGTAAACAAAGCCACAATAAACATGGGTGACCATATATCTGCTTGGGTGTCTGTTCTGGTTTTTTTAGGGTATATTCCCAGTAGTGGAATTGCTGGGTCAAATGGTATTTCTATTTGCAATTTTTTGAGAAAGTGCCATACTGTTTTCCATAGCGGTTGCACCATTTTATACTCTCACCAATGGTGTTCAGTTTCTCTACAACCTCGCTGGCATTTGTTATTTGCTATTCTGTTAAATTTTGCTATTCTTACTGGGTGAGATGATATCCCATATTTGTTTTTATTTGAATCTCTCTTAGAGCTAGGGATTTTGAACATTTATTTCTTCATGTGCTTGTAGACCATCTGAATGTCTTCTTTGGTGAAGTGTCTGTTCATATCCTATGCCCATTTTTTAATTGCATTGTTTACCTTTATCTTGATGTGGTGCTAAAGTATCTTATAAATTCTAGATATAAGTCACTTATCAGATGTATCATTACCAAATATTTTCTCCCAGTCTGTGGCTTCCCTTTTTACACTGTTGGAGAAGTTTTTGGATGTGGAAAGGGATTTTATTCTTAGAAGGTCCTATTCGTTATTTTATTCTCTGCTGGTTGCAGGTTTTTCAGGATGCTTGAAAGACTGTTTATGTTGTGAATTAGGGCTTCTAGAGTTCTTCCAAGCTCTTCTCTAATGTTTATAGTCCTTGATTTTAGTCCTAGGTCCTTGATCTACTTTGGGTTGGTTTTTGTTTATGGAGTGAGGTGTGGATCTTGCTTGAGTTTTTTACAGATAGTTTTCCAATTTTGCCAACACCATTTGTTAAGAAGGCTGTCATTTCTCCACTTAACTGATTTAATGTCCTTGTTAAAAATCAGCTGACCATAGTTAGATGGGCTGATTTCTGGATTCTCAATTCTATCCCATGAATCTATGTATCTGTTATTGTACCAGTACTATGCTGTCTTGACCACCATGAAAGTGTAGTAGGATTTGAAATCAGGGAGTGAGATGTCTCCTACCTTGTTTCTCTTTTTAAGGAGTACTTAGCTTATTCGGGGCCTCTTTTCATTCCAGATGAAATTGGAGATTGCCTTTTCCATCTTGTCGAAGAATGGAATTGGTATTTGTATTGGGATTGCATTGAATGTGTAAATTGCCTTTGGTAGTATTGTCATTTTCACAATATTGAGTCTTCCTATCCATGAGCAAGGGCTATTCTTCCATATCTCCATGTCTCTTTTTGTTTATTGTAGTAATGTTTTATTATTTTCTTTTAATAGATCCTTTGTGCTTCATGTTAGATTTACTCCCAAGTATTTAATCTTGTGTTTAGCTATTGTGAAGGGTATTGTTTTTCTTAGCTCCAGCTCTGTATTTTCTTCGTCACTGTAGAGAAATCCAACTGATTTTTGTATGTTGATCTTGTATCCTGCCACTTTGCTGAATTGGTCAACTATGTCCATTAGTGTTCTTGCTGAGTCTTTAGGATTTTCTAAGTATGCTATCATCTTATCTACATATAGAGATAATTTTACCTCCTCTTTGCCAAATTTGGTACCTCTTATTTTCTTCTTTTGTCTTATTGCTATCACTAAGGCTTTCAATGCAATATTTAATAAAAGAGGTGATAGTGGGCATCCTTGCCTAGTTCCTGTTCTCAAAGGGAATGCCTTTAATCTCTCTCCATTGAAAACAATTTTGACTCTCAGATTTGCATATATACTTTTTACTATGTTGAAGAAATTCCCCTCTAGTCCTATTTTGATGAGTGTTTCAGATACGTTTTTGCAGTCAATAAAACACAAGTAAGAATCTTGCTAGAATTCTCTGCTTTCAGTCAAAATTCATCAGCAGTGATATTTCTTGTTCCAATACCTTTTATGAATACAGCTTGGATTTCTGGACATTCTCTGTTGATTTACTTTTCAAAGTTGTTTTGTTTGTTTTTTTCATTTTTAAAAAATTTTATATCAATTTGCATACAGAATTCTATACCTTTCATTCAGGTGCATGTGTTTACACATTTCTTCATCCCCATTGTGTTTCATACGTTGCTTTTAAAATAATCTTCAGTACTTGAGTCACAGACTTGTGTGGGATATTAATATTGTTTTATGTCCCATCAAGCCAACTAATATGCATAGTGACCCTATGAACAATGGCTGTGAATCTTGCCCTATCCTGAGCCAACCTCACCATCTCTGACACACCTGACCCCATTTCCACAGTCACTGTCACTCATCTCATGTTGGGTCTTCTTCTCTTGCGCTGACCCCCTACTATT